GGCAGACGTAGGACTGTCTTCCAGCCGTTTTTGTTTCCTCCTTGTCTCCAGTAGTTAGAGAGAGATTTAAGCTGCAAGGTTTACTAAGAGCTGTTCGGCTTCTCTCCCACCACTCTCTTTTCTTTGTGGCTTGTGGTTTGTTGCTTTTCTGTGAGGAGGGATGTGGGGTGAGACGTGGGGATTATCTTATTGGCATCTGCTGTTCTAGCTCTGCCTGTTTCTGTTCCCCAGACACAGGCTGATTTTTCCACCAAGTGTTCACCTCCTTCTTTCACCACCCCCAATATCCTGTGGCAATAAATTTTCTGCTTAATTATAAGTTGGAATTAAAAAAAAGAAAAGAAAAAGCTCTTTTCTTTCATCACTTCTGAATCTTCCACCTTCCGAAGTTAGGTGCCAGCGGAGGAAAAAACCCTCCAAAACACTTAGCTCATTAGCCTGCGGGATAGTTGTTCTCTCTCCTGTGGGAAACCATGGAGGTCCCATCCCACGAGCCACTTCAGATCAGCGAGATAAGCCATGGGGGATGTGGAGGGCTGTGTTCCCTGCTGTTGTGAACAACCTCTGATTTATGCAGGCTGGAAACCGAGGCTGGGTATTTGGGGATCGGTTCTCTGGGGTTCTTTTAGTTGGTCCTTTCCACCTCTAATTGCTACTTCTCACTGTGGCTGCTCTCTTATGAGCAAAATTAATTTGGGCTTTGCTTAAGGTTGAGATGGAGGCTACGAAGCCTGCACTGATGGATACCTAAGCCAACAGCCTTGGCGTGGCTGGTTTTAATTCCAGTTTCCTGGTGCTCCTGATAACCTGAGCAGGCACAGACTTCCTGAAGGCTAAAAATTCATCATCCTGAGCTGGTATGTGACTGGGATGCATTGCTGGCTTGGAAGACCCCCGTCTCCCTCCCAGTTCTTTGCAATGGGGTAGCATTTCTAGATGAGTTACGATTCCAATGATTTGGTGCAACCTCTAGTAGGGAGCAGCACGATGAGCAAATTTGCTGTGCCCTTGCCAATACCCTCTTCCCTCCCCACCCTCCGTCTTGTGTTTCAGGCAGAAATGCGCCTGCAGGACCAGCAACTGGCGAGGCAGCTCATGCGCCTTCGCAGCGATATCAACAAGCTGAAGATCGAGCAGACCTGCCACCTGCACCAGCGCATGCTCAACGACGCCACGTACGAGCTGGAGGAGAGGGATGAGCTCTCCGACCTCTTCTGCGACTTCCCCCTCGTGAGCTCCTTCAGCCTCTCCACGCCGCTCAAGCTCATCGGCGTCACCAAGATGAACATCAACTCCCGCCGGTTCTCGCTGTGCTGAAGTGGGGAAGAAGAGGGAAGGATGGGGGACAAAGAGAAAGAGGACTGGGCAGCGCCAGGGCTCTCTCCGCCTGACGGCTGGGCGAAAAGAGGCCAAAGAGGGGCAGAGGAAACAGGAGCAAACAGGGAACCCACAGCTGGCCTTGGTGGCAGGGCAGAGCAGCAGAGTGGGGCACTGAGACGGCACAGAGATGCTCGTTGAGAAGACAGGCCCTGCACGGAGGAAGCATGGAGAGCATCTGAACCCAACATGTGCACTTAGCCTGCTCCTTTGCAAAGTCCCTTCTCCTTCTCTTCCCCCCACAGTAACTAAGAGAACGCAGCTCCAATGTGGCTGTTTGTACTCAGAAATCAAAGGGTGTGTGTGTCAAAGATCAACCACAAAGCAAAGCAAAATCCTTTTTCCCTTCCCCTTTACCTCCTCCCAGGCTAGAGCCATCTCTTCAGAGTCACTCTCCTCCCTGGATGTCTCCTTGGGCTTCGATCCTCAGCCTCTGCTGGCCCAAGCGCAGGGTCCATGGGGCTATTTTCGGGTAGGAAGCTGATTTCCAGTGGAAAGGAGCCCTCCCAGCAGGTGAGGGCCTGTGGGTTAAATGGTATGCAGTGAAGTGGTGAGAAGATGTGTTTGTTGACTTGCTCCGTTGAGTCCAGTGTACCCTAGCTTAATTTTGCCTGTGGTATAGATTGTGGACAGATCATGGACACATTTTTATAGAGACTCCAGCCAGCCAGAAGTCGCCTGTGTGCCCTAGAAGTTATACCCAGAGCAATACACGTTCCTGATCTTGTTGTCAGCAGTGGCCACAAGACACCGCATGGTTACCCCCGCAAGCAGTAAGGCAAAAGAGGGTAACTTACAGCCAAGACATCTCATATCAGAGAAATCACCCCAGGCTGACATTCCCCAACAGCAGCACCAGCAAATCCTGGATCCTCTGTAGCAACACACATCCATTAAAGAAGGGAGCTTCAAGAGGAGAAAAGGGACTTTCGTGTCATGAACATACAGTGTGACTACAAAATTAAAGGGAGAAATATTGCTGTGATGAGCTTTGGACCTCCAGCAAACACATGGGATTCCCTCCCTGCTTGGCAGTATGTAAGATGGATGCTATATTTTCTTGCCTTTCACTGCACACAGCTGCACACCAGCCTGTACGTGGCACGGAGGGCAGATACACCCGTGGTGTAGCCCAGCAAGGGCAAGGACTCAAGAGGTCTAGTCATGGCAATCTTGGGACACCTGGCACCCAAGACAGTCTGTCTAGAGGGAGCGTGGGTGCCTCTAGGCTCTCCCTCCTGTGCCAACACCTCTCCTGACCATGTCAGAGCAGTGCAATCTCTCAACCCATCACCCCAGCCCAACTTTGCTCTCCGCTGCGTGCCCAAGCAGAGAGCTCTGCGGCTGAGTGAACGTGACTGTGTCCACGCAGCACTAGCCCAAGCCCCGGGGACGAGTGGGAGATGCAAGCCAGCGCTGAGCTGAAAGCTGTGTGGCTGTGTTGACGTGCCTGTACCTGGCTGTGTCTGTAAGCCGTGTGTGTGCATAAGTTGTTGTGTGTGTGTGTGCACATCGTGAGCCCGCAGGATGCCTCTCTCGGGAGGTTGAGTAGTGGACCCACGTCTTTGTTCCCAAACGTGACGTGAACCAGAAGCCGATGACACTCTGCCGTGCCTGGGAAAATGCAATAAGGCTTCAGGACTTGGGGTTTCCACAGAGAGCTTACGTCCATGCAGAGAAGACAAATAATTCGTCTGCCTCCACAGGTCTCTGTGCGAAGAAGAAATAAACATCACAAAGGGGTTCATAGCCACACGGGGCTGGGGACTGGCGGGGGACTCCGGAGCTGAGTTCAGCCCTCTATCTCCTATAGTACGTTCCCCCTCGGTGATGCCTCCCACTCCACTTCAAAGATCACTGAGTATCGTTTCTTTCTGCTAAGGAAGGAGGTATTTTGGGCACTGGTGCTCTATCTATACCAGTAAGTTAATCATTGCCGTGCCTGGGTGCTGAATCTTGTGCTGCCCAGGCGATGAAGGTTTAATAGGGTTGTGGCCAGACTGTCTGTTGGCCTCTGGACAAGACAACCAGCCACGATGCTGTTTAGTTTACTAGTAGAGAAATAGCCTTATTTCCCCATGGACATCTTGAAAAAGGAAAAAAAAAAAAAAACCCCATTAAAATAATTTTTTGTTTACTTTTTTAATTAAAAAAAATCAATTCATGTCCCACATGTTGATTTTCAGAGGCATATTCGATCAAAAGATAGCAATGACGACTTTCCAGTGAAAATAATGCCTTGGAAGAGGGGGACTGGTTCTCTCTAGGCTCAGCTAGAATCAACTGTAGGGTGGACCTGCCTTTGGGCTCTTGTCTGGTAGCTGAATGCAGGAGGTTAGTACAAGCACAGTCTTAGGAGTTCATTATATGTGGCATTAGAAATATCAGACGTCTGGGTTCCAGACATGTATTTTCTGCATTAAGTGGAATGAGGGATGGTTATAACTGCCAGCTGTTCGTCGAAATGCACAATTTTTTAATTATAAAATTATGTCTGTATTCATTTCTGCCTCTGGTCTCTCACTGTGTTTGGTGGCTCCAGCTCTGCCTGGAGAGTGGTTGGGGAAGCGCCAGTCTGGTGTGTTCAGGGTTTACAGGTGTGCAGTCTTTCCCGTCAGGTTTCTCTATCCATACACATCACTGAGACATTCCTGCAGCTCCATCAGCAATTGCTCCGCCTTGCAGTCTGGAGGAGATGGGAAGAAATTAAGGTGGGAACACTTATTACGTATTTGGACAAAAATGTATGGGAAAGAAAGCCAAAAAAAAAAAAAAATCACTCTTTTATGTTGGGTTCTGTTTTGTTAGTCAGCCGCTGAGTCAAAAGTGGGTCCAGGCACTTAAAAATATATCAGGCTAGGGAAGAAAAATAAATAGAAGTATGTCTGATTTTTGCTGGACTTTGTTTAAAAAAAATGGGTATCCAAAAGTTGGGTGGGCCTTGAGAAGCATGAGTTCAGGTCACTGCTCCCCACAAAATTCCGAGAAAGGAGCCCACAGATCTCAGCTGTCTGCAGTGAGATGGTTCATGCCCTCGAGTGCCTCTTCCTCCCCTCATACAAGTGCTTAGAGCCATGTCCCCTTTCCTGGGTGACCTACGACGCCTGCAGAGAAAGGCTGGTGGCAACCAAGGTTGGCACTTCTGGGGTCCATCCTGAAAATACCCTTTAATGAGACCATGTGTGTGGACCACCGAATCAAGGCCGTGGTATCTCCACCTGGAGCACCAGTGGCATCCCGGAGGTGGCTGCTGCTCCATCTATTTGAAGCAGAGATCTACTGGACATTGATTCAAGGGTTGTCCACAGCCACCCAGCAGTGAGACATGTTCCTCGCTGAAATTAAAGAGCAAGTTTGAGACTAGTCTGTGTGAATAATTAACTGCATTTTTAATTTAGATGGCCAGACTGGAAGAGCATGGATTTCTCCAGGCTAACTAGAAGATCAAATTTCAGATTATTCTTTCTTGCCCCAAAAAGCTCACATATATGCAAATTTTGGATGGGGGAAGTCAGTCTAGCATTCTAATTGATTACATTTTGCTTTTACTTAAAACAGTTCTAAAAATCTTAATTTAAAACTGAAACCATTAACACCTCATTTTCATTCAAACATTGTTTTGTAACAAACAGTCAAAGTATTTTCCCTGAAATAGCCTTAATGAAACTTTCCCACTCTCTCTCTTTCAGTGGGTATCAGCCATTCATCCAGCTAGACCCAATCCTTGAAGTTCTAGTCAACCCAAAGCTCTATATTTTTTTCAGCATGAAGAAATCAGTTAAAAATTAATTGGCCCAGCTTGATTTCTGACTTCCTTTGGGTCAATTAAGAGGAAACACAAGGCAATTTTACACATTTTAACTTACGGTCAACTGGCCACGCTCCTTGGCATGATCTGCCACGACGTACTGATGGACAAGACCTTGCTTGTCTGTCACAGCCCCAGTGCAGCAAGGATGAACGGGGTCATTGTTCCTAGGCGGGTGTCTCGTCCCTCACTCTTTTGGCACTGGGAAGTGCTAACGTATAATCAGTGAGTGATTTGTATTTTGACGTCTCCCACGATTGCTTCCATATAATGCTTAATAAAATTCAATGGAGATATCATCACAGAAATGCCCCGATAGGTCCCACTTACACCAGGAAAGCCGGGGAATGACATGTTTAAGGACTTAAAGACTGAATTTTCAGATTTCCTTTGCTACACAGTATTTCAGCTGTCACAGTCTAACCTCTTTTATATATATACATGGAAAAAAAATCCAGCTGGAGTATTCCCAGCACCTTGTGTTTTCTTTTCACAGACTGGCGCTGTCTGCTGAGTAGGTTTTATTTTAGAGCAAGGAAGACAGAAGGGGGGGGAAAGAAAAAAAAGGATTGCAAGGAGGAGGTGGCAGGCTACACACCAAAACCAGAGTCAGACTCGCTTCCCTCGCTGCACATTTTACACCCAAGTGCTGTGTCTGAGGAGATACGTACAAGGCAGCGAGGCATCCCAAAACCTCAGGGAGAAATCACCCCTTGGGCATTGCTTATAGCCCAGCCGGTGTCCAGAGGAGTCATGCAGCAGCCCAAAGGAGGAGCGGCACCAAAAGATGTGCAAACCGCTCCTGAAATCGTCACCGGTCTCCATGCTATCCGGGAAATCTGGAAAGCTGAATAACACCAGCACCTCCCTCCCCTCTCCGACCAGGGGACGCCCCTGAACCTCAATGACCACACTCACTCATGCGAATCTGGGCCCAGAGCTGTAATGCTTGGATGTGGATTTTAAGGTAAGCGATGATCAGATTTGGGGCAAACTCTTGATTTCAGGCTTTCATCTCTCATCCTTTCAATCTATTTTATGAAGAAGGACCAAGACACCAGCTCCACACACCCATCATTCAGAGCAGCCAAGACCTGGACTTGCCCCATCCTTGCAAAAGGTGGATGGTGCA